GACGAATAATCTGCTAGTTTTTAAAGGAGAGGGAAAAAAACTTGAAATCTAACTAGTCTAAAAGAAAACAAACAAATATTTGCCAAGCAAACTGTGTACTTCGGTTGTAATATGAAACCATTAATTCCTTTCCTCATTAATCTAATGTTCAAATACGTCGAATAGCAAGGGCAACCACCAGTCTACTCAACATCTCGTGCCCATCCCATTTATACTCGCTTGCTTATTTATTACCTTATTGAAGAGTTTGACAGAATCATATCCGGTGGATCGAGCCCATTCCTTGGTGGAAACACGCTTGATGTCCCCATCCTTATCTGAAGCGGTGGCACGAGCCGCCGTCTCTTCGGGATTCCCTTTTAACAGAATTCACAGCTTTTACACAGCAATTAATTTTAACCTACGTTAATATTCATCCTGCTGTGTGACCAAACAATCAAAAAGGATCCCCGCAAAAACCAAAACAGGGAATTCAAAATTGTGAATCCACATTAATGCCACTCTCTCTCTCACTTACATGCAGCCTCTGGGTCCGCTGTGTCCGGCGACACCTCTTGATCTGCATCTTCTTCTCCAAACAGTTGACTGTAGTGGCAACATACAAACAACAGAAGATGACATCATCACACAGCCTATTATCCGCTGATGATTCTGAAAGATCATCTGATGGTTTAGAAATGGTCATATCTAGATTAGTGATTAACAACTGACGAGGTCCCATCTAATCGCAAGACCTCATAGCACTGAGTCACTCCAACAGTGCACTTTGTTCTCAGACTGCTGATTTACTTTTGGTCCCTCAGATATTTGTGTGGGAGGCAGAGCCTCCAGCTTTCTGTCTCCATCCCCTTACTCCCAGATGGTCACAGCAGAAGGCTGCCCCTCCTTGATTCCACTGGAGGATACTTCCTGTTAAAATTTAGTTTTTCCTTCACACTGTTGCCAGCTGCTTGCTTATGGTGGGTCGTCTGATTATTGGGTTTTCTCTGTATTATTGTAGGCTCTTTATCTTACAGTATAAAGCACCTTATGGGCAACTGTTGTTGTGATTTGGTGCTATATAAATGAAACTGAATGTAGTAATTTTCAAACACGTGCAGGAACAGTTTAATCAAGATCACACTCTACTCTACGTCCAGTCTTAACTGGAAAAAAGAAGATAAAACCGTGTGTGTCAAAAACTGCACGCAGAAAGTGATCAGATCATGCAGAAAATATTTAGAGGTAGTGAGGCACAGTGGGATCACATTTCATGATGTGTTTTTCACCTAACCTGTCCTCTTCCTGCAAGATCAAGCCTGGCAAAAGCCACTATTATTTGCTAAACTAATACGCAGACTGCAATCAAATGTAACTTGAAGCCCAAGAATGCATGCGTAAAAAGAACACAGCTTACTTGAAGAGATATTTGGCCCAGACGATGCAGTGAATGGGCTCAGATGGTGTGTTTCTTATGGTGCATCCTGGGAAGGTCTTCTGTGCTGGTTTCGGCTGGCACTCGTAGCACTCTGTCATTCCCTGGGTAAGAAGCAGCAGAGAAGAGACATGTTCACCGCCCTTGCTCAAAAATCTGCAGCACAGATCAAAATCAAGGCCCTTGATGAATTTTAGTCTGACCCCCATTTCCCTTTGGGTTCTTGGCTACCTTACACACAATGTAAAAAGAGCTTAAAGACATGCAGCCAAATTGTTGGTTCTCTGTGTGAAAAAATATCGGTGCTACCTTCTTGATGACCGTGACCTGTCCCAGGTATCCAGCAGTGCCACTCTCTATCAGAGGGATATCAGCTGCCAAACACATCCTGTTGACATGGTTACGGGCAGCTGGGGAGGCAACACGTGGTTTTATTTACCTCATTTGAAAGCGTTAGCAGTAAAAGAAGATATTTTGGTAATGCTGTAAGACGAGGGTACCTCTGTTATCCAGGGCGTTCATCACAAGCATGAATTTTCTGAAGAACTCCACGTTGTATTCAGGGCTGTTAAGGAAAAAACAAACCACGGTCAGTCCCACATCAGTACATTCTTGAAGGAGCTAACCTCAGACTGACCAAACTGTGAAAAAAAAAGAGAGAAAGAAACGTGCTTCATGATGCTGTCGTGGTATGCAGTGATGTTGGCACTGGGGCAGAACTGCAAGGCGCTCTCTTTGGCCACCTACAAGACAACAAGAGTAAGGGACGGATGTATAAAGTGCACAGAGGACGTTTAAAATAGCAGCTCAGACAGAACTCTGCAGCCTGCAGGACCAGAGGTGAGTTACATACCTGTGCTTTAGACTTGCCTACATGCTTCTTCTGAAAGAGGAACTGACGGTTCAGGTTGCTGACATCAATTGTGTCCAAGTCAATCTGCCAAAATCAACAGGGTTGTAAAGTCAGTCGAGTCCAATCCAACAATCAAACACTTTTCTATTTGTTTGAACAGAAACGCCTGCTAGGTCACAACAAACAGGGGTAAGTCAGTGCGACAATCAGAGGACTGCACGAGCATTTTAAACACCAAGAGAAACAAGTAATTCTCTGCTGAACGTCTTTCTTTTCATATAACTATTTTACTGCATTTTAATTGTTCTAGATTTGCATTAATGTGTTTTCTATGTGCTGCGTTTGGATACAAAGTTAGAGAGGCAAGACTGAGATAGTTTGGACATATGCAGGAATAGATAGATATGGATATATTGGACAAAGGATGCTGAATATTGAGCTGCCAGGCAGGTGAGAGGAAGACTGCAGAGAAGGTTTTGCACAAGGTTGGTGTGAGAGAAGGGGATGATAGGGAGAGGGTGAGACAGAGTGTTCTGTGTGTACAGCACTGCTGCTAATTCAGTCGGTGACAAATAAAAGTTTCACAATGTTATCTCAATTCTAGCCAAGAGGTTAATTAAATTATTTAAACAGTAGCTGCTTAACTGCTACAGGATTACAGGCACAAGCAGCAAAAAAAACTCACACAGGGTGTTTGCAGGTACCACTGAGATGATGACAGTAAAGTAAAAGATAACCAGAAGACTTTAGGACCTGTCGTTGACCCTTTTTAAGAGGGAGAGGCTGTAGTAGCCTTAACTAATGAAGTCTGTGGTGGATGCCAGATGACAAAAAAAATGAAACTGTTTATGTAAAGAGTGAGGACAGACAGGATGGATTCTACTTTCATAAATAAAATACTGCAGCGCCGGTTATTTTGGCTGCAGACATTAAATGCACGCAGTCTCATGTTTGACTCTGGGAGACTGATACCAGCAGGATAAGAGAGAAGGCGAGCACAGGCTCAAACAATGTCATCAAGAGTTTACTGAGACAAACTAGACACTCCTGACTTTTCTATCTTATCATGTCAATGTCATTCTCAAATGTCCCCCAAATACAGGACACTACACTCAAGAGAGGGGTAAGCAAATCTGAAATCAATCTGCAGGTTCTTATTTGGTTGTATCAATTATAATGTTACCAAAAATATAATAATTAAATAAAGAAATACAATAGCGTAACCAGTGCAAACTGCTTCTAACAAGAACAGAATAAGGAATAGGAGCAAACTTGAGACATCACTCTCTAGTTTGAAAACCAGAAGCCTCACAGACCCTCAATGGTGACAAAGTTCAACGCAGACCTTGTCACTGTGAAAAGGAAATGTCTGCGTTCCCACTACATTTACCCAGCTTCCTGAAGAGAATGGCACTTGCCGAGGTCATGTAGGACCCTCAAAACACCAAAACCTACTTTTGGGTACTCTCTTATTCACAAAGGGTTGCCACAGTGGGTCAATGCACATCATTTGATCAGATCTATTGCTTGTCAGGCAAATGTGTAAACCACTACTCTATGGACAGTGACAAAAGAAACAGAGGTCAGAGGGTGCCCTGACACATATAAGATCTGTAATAGGCACAGTAATGCAGTAGTTAGAAATGTCCCCTCACAGCATGCAGGCTTCTGGCTGAGGTGACTGTGTGTTAAGTTTGCATGCTCTTGCTGTTCACTCTGGCTTCACAGTGAAAAGATATGCACATTATGTTAATTTATTATTCTAAACTGACCATTGATTTGAGGTTGGTAAAGAGTTTTAAGTGTATAGATTATGATGCCCAAAGAACGTATGGTTAAGTGCCCGAAGTGTTAATTAATAACAACTTAATAATATAATAACTGGTAGTTGATATAGAAGTAAGCTCTAATTGTTGCACATAATAAATCTCAACAGTTCCAAAGTGCTCTTGCCATTTCCATTTTCAGTAACACATTTCTTAAATCAATGTGGTGGTTGTGTTATATCTTAGGTACAACAGTGTGATGACAATACAGTGTGCTTGGTGTTTTTTCCTCCTACCAGTGTTGTGAAATTTAAAGCCTCTATTTATTAATGTCAGATTGGCCATTTATGCATTCTGCAGTTAAAAAAATGAAATGGTACAGACACAAACGGGGGAAGGGGGGGGTCCTTGGCTCTAAACCACACAGTACGTAAGGGAGAATTTAATACACAATTTAACAGCACTTTCTGAGCACCCGTGAACTCCTCACGCTCAGCCCCCAACCAGCACGCACATACATTCTATGAATAAAGAAACTGAGCGTTTTGCGTTGATAGATACAGTGAGGATGTTTTTTCCCTATAATACACCGTCCATGGCTAAGCACGGAGATGTCTAAGCACCTCCATGGTGGCACACAGCCCGCGGTGTCCTTACAAAGAAGTTGACTGGCTAACTTAGCAGTGATAATGGCGCCAAATATCCCGGCTACATCGCTACGATCTTGTTCGACTTTTTTCCACCCTCACAGATAGATATCCTTGCCGGTCCATTTGACGCTGTTCACGCGGTGTTAACAAACCACCAGCGAGATAGTAATACAGCTCATCTTTGAATGCCACGTCTCAGCAATTAGCCTGAGCCCACACGTCTCCTCTTGACACACTCATTGCAGCACAAAGAACCAGTTAGCATGCTAGCCGGCTAGCTACCAAAGACACAGCCACACAAACAAACAGCGTGAACGGGACGGACCACTTCGATGTTTTTGAAGCCGGTGAGTACAAGGTTCTTCAGCAGCTCGCAGCCGATCCCTCCTGCTCCCACTACCAGGACCTTGCAGGTGGAGATGGAATCAGCCAGCTCTTTTCGGAGGGAACCCACAAGTTGGACCATGTTGATGGCTAAAGACAGAACCTGCAGCTCCCGGAGGCTAGCTGTTAGCTTCTTCTTCTACACAACCCAAGACCCACCCACTTCCGGGTCACACACTTTTTCTTTTGTGAGAAAAAGTAGTAGTTTGTCATTTTAGCGCCCTCTTCCAAATGCCACTAGTATTTACGATATAAAAGATAAGGCTTTTATAATAGGGATTCGCAATTCCAGGCTTCAACGGCTGGTGTCCTGCAGGTTTTAGATGTGTCCTTGATCCAACACAGTTGATTCAAATGGCTAAATTACCCCCTCAACATGTCTTGAAGTTCTCCAGAGGCCTGGTAATGAACTACTCATTAATTCAGGTGTGTTGACCCAGGGTGATATCTAAAACCTGCAGGCCCTTGAGGCCTTGGAGTTGCCCACCCCTATTGTATAAGATATATATAAGATAAAGCTCCTTGAATAGCATTGTCTAAATCTAATTTCTTGTCATTTCATTAGTATTTATACTCAACAGCAATTCTCTTCTCTTTCCCCTCACCCCCCAACCACTCACTGCAGGTGGCTGCCCCTTGCTGAGACTAGTTGTGCCAGTGGTTTTTTCCTATTCAAAGGGAGTTTTTTCCTCTCTACTGTTGCCAAATACTTATTCATAGGGGGTTGTTTGATTGTTAGAGGTTTTTTCTAGTATTGTAGGGTCTTTACTTTACAATATAAAACACTCTGAAATGACTGAAATGACAGTCCTGTGGACTGTGATGTCATATTTGTTACAAATTCTGTCAAAAATGACATTTTTCGCGTCATTGGGACTTTACACCTAGATACATTGGGGTTATATAAAAGTCACTTTGCCAAAAAAAAACTGATTGGGGATCTACCTTAAGACTAAAACGTTCTTTCTGGCTCAGAACGACTTATGATGTATTTATCCAGGTTAAACGGCTCGTTGACAGTAAAAGTGTGTTGTTGTTTTTTTAAAGAGAAATCTGGCCAAGAGGGTAGCAGAAATTGAGAATAAGTCATTTCATTATTTTAAAAATAACTCCTTCTTAAATCCTGTAGACTATAAGATAATTACCCAAAATAAATAAGGATATTGAACATTTAAAAAATGTAAAACATCAGGAATAACCTTTTGGGGGCAGATGATCATTTTTATATTAAAGTCTTTTTGGAAATCTCTCTGTGCATACATTCAAAGCTGGTCTGTGAAGAGAAGTGGGATACGTTCACTTCAGCTTCACGTTGCACACATCACATTTGGCTTTGCTTGCTTGAAAAAAAAATCAGAACATTTTCATTAAAAAATAGTCTTTGTCAATCATTTGCCTTCTGAGGCGTAAATAAACACACGTAGGAGGGATCGATAGGGCGGTGTACCCGTACCGTACACGTTTTATTTGCTCCTGCATGCCACTCTGACCAGACACTCTTGGCGCAGACCTTGAGAGAATTAAACGTGGTTCCCGCAGCACTCAGCAGCCCAGGACGTGTGGGTGCACTTTTACTTCAGAGATGGTAAACACAGGGTTTCCTCTGGTGTGACCTCGCGTGTTTTCTTCCCGGCTGGCCCGCCTCTGCCTCCGCCTCCAGCTGCAGCGCACAGACTGAGCTCCGTCCAGAGCGCCACAGCTGCCCGAAGGAAAAGATGGGATCCGCAGGACACTTGAGCTTAGTGCTGCTGCTTGCATTTCTGCTGGGGCTTCATCACTCCTCAGGTTTCTGGATCGTCAACGTTGTCTTTCCTCCCCCAGCCAAACCTAAAGTACCCAGCAACAGCACTCCTCCACTTATTATCGGTAAGTACAGGGTCTGTCTGTTTGTTAATATATATGGAAGATTAAAATATACTGCTGTGATATATACCCGAGATTTATTGTTGATTTAGCTGGACATCTATGCGGAAACATGTAGCACGACGGTCCAGTACAGTCGGGGGGTGGGGGTGTTTTTAGGTCACACACAGCACTCTGTACATTTGACCCTGCAGGCAATATCAGTGTTTTCTCATCAGGAAAGCTTTAGGGACACAATTTAGTGACTGTGCTTTGGATAAACCTCCACGCTCAAACTGAAAGACTATTAAACCTGTTCTTTTCCTACATATAATTTAAAATAAATCGTCCTCTCTATGTCAAGAAATTTCTTTTAAAGTTCAGCTTGCCTTTTTATGAAATCTCAAACATCCAGAGAGAGACATTTTCGCCTCAGAATTTGAAGAAGTGGTATTTTTATTGTCTTTGATATGATGATGTTTAAACACTGGACTGACCAGATCGCAGAAGAACTGCTGTGTACGCGGTGTAAATAGTGTAGCTGGGTAACGGTAAATGATGCAGCTTCTCCTGTGGGTCAGGGGTCAGTTTCGCAAATTCCGAAACAGATCCAAATATTTGCATTTCACAAAACTGTCTGCTATGTCAAATACACCTTATTTGCTGAATTCTGGGTAAATTAAGGCTAAAAGAAAACATGTGACCACATCAAGGTAATCATCGTAAATCACCCACCCCGGGATAAAGTGTTTTGCTGTTTTGGTAGGTTTTGTGCTATTAGAAATTAGATGATGTTATCCCTTTTAGGCTTACACTGTACCATTTCCCTCTTTCTGCTGCTTGTGATTCACAGTTAGCAGTCAAAAAGTCATCGTCCAGTCAGGGATTTGTGCAGTCTACTGCACAGGAGCTCCAAGTAAAGGACAGGCAAACAAAATGAGGAGATTTTGACTAAAAGGAGATAAAGAAAATGCTTTGAGTTCTACATTGATTGCTTTAAGTGAACCAATCGACTGACATTTATTTAAACTCAAAAAACAATGTGACTAAACAGCACTAACAGTTTTACCCATGACTTCAATATGATTTTGTGAAAAAAGTAAGTGAAATAAGTGGAAGAGATGGGTGTAGAAATGTCCTTACCTATAAAAAAAGGCAGATTACTGTCGGCTCGTTTCAAGAAAGACTGGTAGGTGTCAACCGACAGCTTTGACAAGACCTTAAAAGTGTTCAGCGAGAGTAGAAGTACCAAAGAGTCAACATGAAACGCCTGCAGAAATCTCTGCAACTTCCTGAAATATATCTTTAACACTGAAAAAGAATGGTGGTTATGGAAGGACAAAGAAAGGAAGCAACCACTCAAAATGAAAAACAAAAACAAACAAACAAAAAAAAGCGTTGCTGAAATTTTAAAGTTTGCAAAATGCCACCTCGATGTTTCACATCACCTATTTAGCAGTCGTCTTGTGTGCAAAGATGCTAAGTCTGAAGGAATAAAGGCAACACATCATCACAACTCTAAGGCATGGTGGAGGGAGCATCCTGGCATGGGCCCTGTACTTTGAAGCAAGTTCAACATTACCAGGTCACTTTTCTTTCTCTGGTTTCAGCATTAGCAATCAGGCTAAGTCGTCGATCAAAGGTGATTATGAGCTTGATAAATTAACCCAGGATTTATCTATCGAAGCATGAGTGTGTTCGCATGAAAGGGGCGATATCTGGGAGCAGAGCAACTGATTCAGGTAAAACTATGTTATTATAAGAGGTTAACCACATAAAAGCAGTGATGTGAGCGACTGCAACATGAAAGGAATCAGACAGTAAATTACAGCACTGAAAACACCTAAAGTGTGTGTTTGTGCTATAAGTGCTCTTTCATTAAGTCATAAAAGAACAGATGTATTATAATTGTTATTACTCATATTTAGATAAGCAAAAGATAGTTTTAGTTTTTATCATTTTCAGCTGCAGCCCTGGTGATGTTTAAAGGTCTGAGAGCAACCAAAGAATAAATCTCAGACCTTCCCAACCGCAGACGTTTCCTTCTTAAAGTGAAAATGAGATCATTAATATAACAACATTAGATAAATTGGATTCCACTGTTTGTTTTTGTTTTGTTTTCTAAATTGTAGTGTGGTTTTTATTTCCAACTTAAATTATATAACTCTTTAATGTGGCAGGAAATTAGCTTATCAACATCTGGTCTCAGGATCCTCCAGAGCAAAGCAGCTGTGCACATTTTTTAATTGCAAAACAGGAGACAGAATATTGACAGGATATCAAGGAGAAACAGAAAAACACAATAAGACAGAGTGTAGGTAGGGGTTATTATAGCTTTGTATTTTCTAATTAGTTTTTATTTTAATTTTATTTTGACCTGTTGTTTTGAATTCTGACTGAATTCTATATATATGAAATTTAACAAAATTGAAAAATAAAATACAAAATAAAGTACAGGATAGTGTATACTGTATACATTCCCAAATTTAGATGCATATTTTAATAACTTCAGTCTCTCTCCAGTTCCTCAATGTTCCCAGTCTTTAATCTCAACGTCCCCAGTCTTTAATCTCAACGTTCCCAGTCTTTAATCTCAACGTCCCCAGTCTTTAATCTCAACGTCCCCAGTCTTTAATCTCAACGTTCCCAGTCTTTAATCTCAACGTCCCCAGTCTTTAATCTCAACGTTCCCAGTCTTTAATCTCAATCTCCCCAGTCTTTAATCTCAACCTCCCCAGTCTTTAATAGCTCCAGAAACATCTTCCAAATGTCAAAAAATTCTGATGATCTTTTCCGAAAAGTATAGTTTTTATTTTTATTTCCTATGACCAGTGATCTATAGCAGTGGTTCCCAGCTCTCTGAGCTGGTGACTCTTCATCATGCAAAAAGTCACTTTGCAAACTCTTATCACAGCTTTAATTAATGAATAATCTCTTTGATTTCTTTCAGTTCAATTAAATGATTCCTCAGTTTCATATTTCATATTTCATACAATATGAAACTGAAGAAGTCAGAGAGCTTCTGATTCCTTCTGATGACACACAATCTGTAAAAAAAAAAATGATTTGGATCATTGATTTATGACAGCTGTCTGGGAAGTCCATCAGTTCATCAGTTCTTTGTTGCATGGTTGTTAATAGACCTCTCTGCATTGAATCATACCTGTTATTAATCTCTGTCTCTCTTCCACAGCATGTCTTAATCCTGTTTTCCTTCCCTCATCCCAACCGGTCACAGCAGATGGCTCCGCCCCTCCCTGAGCCTGGTTCTGCCAGAGGTTTCTTCCTGTTAAAAAGGAGTTTTTTCCTTCCCACTGTCGCCAAAGTGCTTGCTCATAGGGGGTCATATGATTATTGGGTTTTTCTCTGTATGTATTATTGTATGATCTACTGTACAATATAAAGCGCCTTGAAGCGACTGTTGTTGTGATTTGGCGCTATTGAAATAAAATTGAATGGAATTGAATTGAATTGAATTGAATTGAATTGGAAGTTTGCTGAACTTCGGCAGCAGTTTGCAGTGCTGTGTATTGGTCCCACTTTTTCCTGCAGTACAATTAACATTTGACACACTGTTGTGTTTGCATGTGCCCTCCTGCTCAGTACCGGGGAACCTGGGGAACCGTCTGGAAGCCAAAATAGACAAGCCGTCGCTGGTCCACTGGCTGTGCTACAAGAAAACTGAGAAATGGTTCCCACTGTGGATCGACCTCAACATGTTCATACCCATAGGTGTGGACTGCTGGATCGATAACATCAGGTGAGACCTGCTGTCTGCTCTCACATCCACGTTTAAGCAGTTTAACAACACCTTTGATCTACAACTTTGCCTTACTGTAGGTGACAGCTGAGGAACAGACTTTTATGTTATGCTTACGCTTGTCAGTTTTGTTTATCTTTAGTCAGGTTTTTCATCACTGAATACATGTTTTGCAGAATTTGAAAACTTAGCCATGTGTTTCCACATTTGTGCGTCCTGCAGACTCGCTTACAACAGGACAACTCGGCGGTCATCCAACTCACCCGGGGTGCAGGTGCGAGTGCCTGGATTTGGGCAGACCTATTCCATTGAATATCTTGACTATAACAGACTGGCTGGTGAGAAAAATACATCTGTGTTGGTAAACTGGTAAATTTGGGGGACTAGTTTCTGACATCTTTTAATGTATTTCTACACTGAGTAACAGAGAAATGTTTAATGGTCATGAAGGCAAAAATATAAAGGAACACGTAGCCCAGTGCTTTATTTCCATACTAGATTTGGACTCTTAAACTGACCGAGTCTGCTACTGTTCTCTGAAGGTTACTTTTACACCATGGTGGAACATCTGGTCAACGTGGGCTACATCCGAAACGAGACCGTCCGCGGAGCACCGTATGATTGGAGAGTAGCTCCTAGTAAGTCTGCATTATTTTTATGTTAAGAGAGAAAGCACGGTGCTTTGCATGTGTTTGCTTACGAGTATACAAAAGAAGTTTCCTGAGCAGCTCAGCTTGTGCTGTTTTTTCTTTTTTTTTACTAATTATGGCACGCAGGGGGGTCAATGATAAAAATCGACATTACTAAAGAACATTAACTTATGCTTTTATTTAATCATGTATTAAAGTCATGTTACTTTTTTTTAATACAATAGGAGCAATTTTCAGATGTGCTTCCTAGTATAGTACAGATAATTGTGGTAATTACTTTGACTTTTAATGTCTCCCAACTTCTGAGAAGAAAAGTCTTCACTAGCCACTTTAACAACTATATACTTCACTATGTTCTTCTGCAAGTTGCTGACTTTAGTGCTGGAAAGGTGAGTTTGTTATGTCGGTGGGAGAAGCAGGATTGAACCAAGCGATAAAGTTGTCGGTCGAGAATACTAGTATATGCTGATGCTACAGTATTGTACACTCCATAATTTGGTAGCGTGTAGCAAATATAACTTCAAGTATTTGTTTTCTGTGTGACTTTGTTAGATTCTTACATTGCTGTAGAGGAAGTTTGGCGCATTCTTCACATTGTAACAACTCTTCTTGAAGTTTTTGGGCAATTGTTTTTGATGTCCTGCCACATTTTAATCAGGTTGAAGTCAGACAAATGGTTTCACATTTGACTCTAGAATACTTCTATATATAGAGTTCATGGTTGACCCAACTACTGAAAGGTACCCAGGTGCTATGGCTGCAAAACAAGTCCAAATCATCACCTCTCCACTACCACTGGATTCAGTTGAAAACATTTAATATGAGGGATTTGTGCTGATATGTTGTATTTGGTTTATGCTACATGTGATGCTGTGCATTATGGTCCATATGTCCACTTTGGTCTTATTTTTCTAAAGGACATTGTTCCTGAGGTCTTTGCTCAGATGCAACTTTGCAAACCTAAGAAGAGGCTTTCTGTTGGCAATCAAGCCAAACTTGAACAGCCTTTTTTTAACATGCTGACTGAGACCTGTAGAGTCTGAGATGTCGCTCCTGGGGTAAATTTGCTGGTATGTAGATATCATGAATGTTTTCGTCTTCTCACTGTACAATGATGGACTTCAGACTGTATGGGAATGGCCTTATTGATTATTGCTGATATATTTCCTCCTTATGGGCGATCGTGGCTTAAGAGTTGGCAGTTCGCCTTGTAATCGGAAGGTTGCCGGTTCGAGCCCCAGCTTGGACAGTCTCAGTCGTTGTGTCCTTGGGCAAGACACTTCACCCGTTGCCTACTGGTGGTGGTCAGAGGGCCCGGTGGCGCCAGGGTCCGGCAGCCTCTGTCAGTGCGCCCCAGGGTGGCTGTGGCTACAATGTAGCTTGCCATCACCAGTGTGTGAATGGGTGGATGACTGGATATGTAAAGCGCTTTGGGGTCCTTAGGGACTAGTAAAGCGCTATATAAATACAGGCCATTTGTCATTGTGTTAACACATATCTGAATGCTGCAGACCAGCAAACTGCCAAAATCTCAATAATCAAATGCTCTGATTAGCAGCGCCTGGCTGCTACTTATCCTATTAATTCCACTGGAAGTAAAAGGAGTGTATTTTGTTTTTCACACACTGCTTCTGCATGTTGGTTTAGCTTTTTAAAAATATATATTGACACAGTGTAGCATATCACGGGTTGCTTTTCATCTGAGGTTGCAGTTACCTCATTTTAATACCTGCTAAGGACCACGTGATTTTTATTTACCAGCTGGTTCTTAGAGCTAACCCTAGAGAGAGGAGTGGATTTTCTTTTAGGACACCAAAACTCTAAAACAAACTCACTAGTTTTTATTCACACACTGACTGTGAGTACATTTGGTGTTGCATGTCCTGATTGTGGCAGCAGGTTCTCAAGTTATTTTGACCAGATGCAACCAAATTTTAATTACACTACATAATGACGTTTGATGTGCACCTCTTAAGGTTCTTGCTGTGAGCCTGTAACGTTTTTATTTCCCTTCGTCCCCCCACAGATGAGAATGCAGAGTACTTAGCAAAGCTGCAAAACCTGGTTGAGGAGATGTACAACCAGTATCAGGAGCCTGTCTACCTGCTGGGACACAGCATGGGATGCCACTATGTCCTCTACTTCCTCAACCAGCAGCCTCAAGCCTGGAAGGACAAATACATCAGAGGCTTCATTTCTCTAGGAGCGCCATGGGGGGGTGCAGTAAAAGTACTCAGGGTCCTGGCTTCAGGTAATGATAAGAACGCACAGAACAGAATACAGATGGAGGGGCTAGAAAGCGGTGTGAACCTGAAACTCTTTACAGGAGTAAATGATGGCCTCTCGATGATTTCGAACCTAAAGATTCGGGAGGAGCAGAGGATGGTAACCACCAATGCGTGGATGCTTCCTGTAGATGGCATCTGGCCAAGTGACCACGTATTCATCTCCACGCCAACCTTTAACTACACTACAAAGGACTACCAACGGTTTTTCAAAGACATTGATAATGAGGAAGGCTGGTAAGAAACAGTTTGGTTGGTTTGGTTGGTTTTAGAAAGTCTTGATTGCCAAAAGTTAAAAAAGCAGACCAGAAATTGTATAGTACCAGTGGTCATCTGTATTTACTGCTTTACCTCTCCTTTGAGAGCAGAAAGTGTGAAATTTCTGGGCTCTTTGTCTTCTACTTCTATTTCTATCTAAATGGTAGCATCTTGCTTTTTCTTGAACTATACCTTTTTAGCATATAGATCAAATACTTCTCTTTTTGGTGTATTTTTTCTAATAGCAAACAATGATCATGCCCTCTTGTTGGCTCCAGGTATATGTTGGAGGACACCAAGAACCTCACTAGTGATCTCCACCCTCCTGGTGTTGAGGTATGGTGTATGTATGGCATGGGCCTTCCAACTGCCATAACAAACATCTACGACGAGGTCTTTCCCAACGGGGACCCAGTGGACTTTGTTTATGCCGATGGAGACGGCACGGTGGACACGTTCAGCATGAGTTTATGCAAACGCTGGGAGGGGAAGCAGGAGAAGCCCGTCCATATCACAGAGTTCAGAGGGCTGTTCCATCTGGATATGGTGTTTCACGAAAAGGTGCTCAACCAAATCCAGGACATCCTGGAGGGCAAATCGGACACACCCACAGAGGTTGATGTCAGAACTGACACTGAATACAGGCGTTCAGGAGTTTGAAGCCATTTACAGTGCTAGAGTCTCACATAGGTGACTTTTGAGCCAGATCAAACATCAAGCTTAAAACAAATATCAGTACCGTCTCTTATCTCAAGTAGGTACAACAGCTCAAAACCAATCTGGACTTGGGGAGAATCTATCACTGATCCCCCTCCCCCCCCCAGCAAATAGTCCTGACCACTTTATCTTAACTAAACGCTGCTGACTCAACAATGTGGGTTTTAACCCTGACCTGATTATTACTAAACTGAGGTCATGTGTTTAGTTACCTTACGTCTGAAACTTGGTGGCAATTATGGAAATATAATAATCACAGTAATTAAAAATGTAGTAAGAAATTTTTATGATGGTTTTAGTTTTCTTGTTTTCATCTGTGTCCTCCTGTTACATCATCATTATCATTTTATTATTTTCATGCATAAAGACCCAATAAATATGAGACATTTGTTGTGTGAGATTATTGGATTATTCCCTCAGAAACTTTGTTTTTGATAAGTTATGAGCAATGATCATGAATATTTTTGAAGTGCTGTTGTGTAAGCGGCCGTCTGAATGGTTCACCTTAAAATTACAGCATTTAAGGTCACAAAAGTCCGCCTGTGTGGGTCACTAGTTTGGTTCCAGTACAAAAGTCAAGCCTTTATCTCATCTGTTGTTCGACAGCATCTGCTGCTGTGGACTCTTGACTCGCTGAAGTTGCGTTACAGCCAGGTGTAGTGCCAAAATAGTTGCACCCGTCAGAAAGTGCCTTCCCATCCTCAAGAGCGCGCAGAGGAGCAGGAGCCACGGCGCGTTCATGACTGAAAGAAGAGTTCGCGACTCCTCTTTCAAAATAAAGTCTGTCCTGCAATCAAGTGTTATAAGAAATAATCTGGATAATTGTAGTCAATATAATTTAATTTCCTTAATTTTAAACTGTAAGGAACACATAATGCTAATCTTTAGACAAAGCTAAGATTCATAGACAAATATATATTATTATTCTTTGTTTTCAGGAGTCATCGTGCAACAATTATGTACATGCAGGACAAATAAAAGCTTCCTATGCTGGCGGATATTTTACACTGATGTCACACTGAATCTGTAAAATAATAGTTTAGAGTTAAAAAAAGATTTCAAAGGAACTCTAAATAACTTGATGCCAGCATCACACTGTTTTTCCCTGCAGAGGGACATTGATTTGTCTTGTCACATGTTTCACATGTTCTTTTTGTTTGTTTGTTTGTTTTTAAAAAACAGTTTATACTGTATACTGCACTTATCACTTTACTCAAGACCCCACACTATCATATTACTTCAGAGTAGTTTACTCTCAGACTGCTGGTTTACTTTACTTGTGGTTCCTACAATAATTAAAAGTAGAATGTATCAGGGCGAGGACACTTGTGACAAAGACTCCACTTGTGTGGGATGTTTGTGTCACAAACTCCAGCTTGACATATGGGCAGGTGTAAAAGTCATGCAGTGTTTATTTGCCATTTATTATGTGTTAAAAATAATAGAGTTAACAAAAGAAAAATGTGGGGGAGGAGGACCAGGAGGTTGAGGCAAATCAAAGAAATTAATAGTGCCTACAGCTTCTCTAAAGGTCAAGTCAACCAATGCTCAAACAAAAAGGCCCATCTACACAAGGGGTCAGTCAAAACCATTCAAGTGTTAAGAAATCAGTTTCACCCCGGTTCTTTTAATTCCTCGGGCATCCAGAGACGGCACCGGAACTCAGTAGTCATTTTCACAAAACCTTTATTCATCTTTATTCATCTTCATTTAAGCATGCATCTCCTAGAAGGGAAGACGTGCAAGGCCGGTGTCCCTCTGCAAATCTTCACTGTTTTGTCTGTGAAACAAAGTGTTGTAGAAGTGAACCCATCATAAAACCCCCATGGTGTGCTGCAAACTCTGTGTCTGTGTGTGTATGCACGAGCACATGAGTGCCTGTGTGTGCGCATACCCGTGTGTCCATGTGAGTGCACGTGAGTGACTGTGTGTGTGTGTGTGTGTGTGTGTGTGTGTGTGTGTATGTATGTCTGCGTACGTGACTTCCTGCCGGTCATAAGAGTAATCTCCTCACCTAAGCTACACCAAATTCCTCTACACAACAGAGAAAACAGAGTTAACGTATTACAAACACTGGTAACTGGTAGACCTCACCCAGGTCTCCCCTGGGGAATTTCCACTCAACATTAACTTCTCTTTGTCTTACTTTCACAGTTCAAAATGGGGAAGGGCCTCCTAGAAATCTACTCCTAAATTCATTACACACTCAGGCCTTTATTGCATCCAGGGCAGTGTCAGTGTCTCTACAATAATTCTACATCCTACCTAACACATTTTTAAACTCTCAAATAAGCTACGCATATCTTCACAAGAGAGGTATCAACCGCACACCCTAGTGTTTCTAATAACTGTTCCTCTGTTACATATCTACAGGGTACCCCCAAGCTTACCTGTCCAACCTCCTAACACAACCATTCTATTCACACACAAAATCTACTAAGTCACAGAGAGTCAGAAGCAGCCTCAGCTGGCCAGGGAGCTGCCCTTTTGTAATTGGCTTACTACGCCCAGATCAGCTAATAGATGTATGCCAATTAAGTTTGAATGGGCCAATAGTTGGAAGCTCTACACGTGGAAGACGAGAGAAACAACAGCGCCACTTATTGTGGCATAAAACATAAAACATAGGCTTTCAAAACCTCAGCTAATTTGAATAACTGACAGGTACAACCACGTGATCTAAGAGGTTGGAGTTGGACTGACTTGTTAAGGAGAAAGATCTTTATTTTCATGAGTAAGTTTTTTTTAATGTATTTGCTAAATAAAACACATTATGGTAGAAAAGAGAGGATGGATTATATGGATTATATGGATAGAAAGAGGGGACACTTTTTGGTAGCGTATAGTTTAAGGTAAATAATCATCCAAACGGTACAATTAATATATTGATATTAATATTATTATTTCCTCTACTTGTAGGCCTATCAGAAATAAGAAGCTTGCAGAACAGTGGAAGCTTTTACTTTGAAAGAGGTGACTCCTCCTACCCCTCCTGAGGATGGCAGGAGGGGCACTTTCTTAAAGGCGTAACTGTTTTTCGCAAAACACCGTGTGCTCTTAAAATCCGGAACTCGTGATCATCCACAGTGGTAGTTTACTCGCACCAGTGGGCTTTAACGGCAAACCGCAGCCGGCTCCACACATCGCGGAGGTATTATGCTCTTCAGGCTATGATATATCAGGAGTCATGGCGGGTTGGCACCGGGTAACTGCCTTCTGTGTCGGGCTTTTATTAATGCTGTTGTCGGCACCCAGCTCCGAGAAACCGGCGGGGAAATGTCTCGGCGAAAAGCCTCGTCCATCCCCAAAACCCCCGGTCGTCCTCAGTAAGTGTTTCCTTCATCAATTTATTCCTTAGTTTGTCTTCTGTTGCCAAATAGTTGCACAACTTGCTGTCGTCCGTCAGTTAGCTAATCGGCAGCTGGCGATTTCGAAAGGAGACCAAACTCCATTTAAAGGGGGTCAAATTTAAGTTCTCCTGATGTTTATCAGCCATCATGTTAACTTAAAAATAATTCTGTATTTATCATATTACTACTTGGCAAGTCTTCAATTCGGCTTCAACATATTACACATAAGTCAATTCATTTTGAACTTTTGTAAATGTTTGGCCTGTTGTTGTGGTTGTCATCAGCTGCCAAAACAGAGAAATCCTCGTGTGTGCATCTCGGTGTTCAAGACTCTCTTATGATCAGATAATATGACGTTTCATTATTTTAGCTGTGCTGTATCAAAATAAACTCTAAAACACGTTCCCACAATAAATGCAGAGTTAAAATTTGCTTTCAAGCGAGGCGTCCTTAAATTGTTGGCTTCTTGAACGAGGGTTGGTCCGATTTACATAAGAAATAAGAAATAGGCTATCTTCATCTATCTGAAAACAAAAAAAGACATATAGCTGTACTGCTGTGGACAAGTCTGACTGATTAACGTTATTTGAGGAAAGATTTAAACCTGCCAGCTGTGTCTGTGCCTGTGTTAAAGGGTAATCGTTTACAGCTCAGCCATCAGGTCATATGACAGAACGCGACTCTTCAGCTCAACAGCCAATCAGCTCCTCCAGACGCTGAGGGAGTCTCTCCTCATACCTTTCTGGGCCATGTAACCTTTAGGAGTGACTTTAAAATAAATAAGAATAAAAAACGAAATGGGTTTTACCTCAAAATCTCATTTTTCATTTCATGTTTTATACTTGTTTGGCTGTACTGTAGACTTTTCTTTTTTT